TTAAGCCCAAAGCTTAGTGAGTTTCCCCCAAAATACCAATAAATAACAAATAGCACAAAATATAATAACAACATACTATGGGCCCAATCAACCATCGGGTTGGAATGCCAATATACTATGGGTCCAATCAACCATCTGGTTGGAATACCCCAGGCCCCTCAATCATCGGGTTGGAATGCCAACATACTATGGGTCCAATCATCCTCGGGATAGAATACCCTAGGCCCTCAACCATCGGGTTAGAATACCCCGACTTGTTGGCTTATGCACAAAGTAGTGAAGCCTCAGCCACCAATCAACCATGTGTACATAATACATATAACCATACTATTAACCAGCTAGCAAACAAATAAACAGATCTTACATATCACAAACATAACATCATCCTAACTACCAGGATACTGATCTACCAGATCAATATAACATAACATGCATTACGAGATATCAATCCAAGGGCCGAATTTTTTGCCTTCGACCTGCAAGTACAGTGAGAAAAACTCACCTCATAAGTAATGCTGAACTGATAAGATCCAACTCCAAATCTTAGCTCCGGACTCAAATGCCTACAATCGCCATGTGACCATTTATATCAAAACCCCGAATTACCCAAAATGCCCTCAACAGTCAAACTTGGTCAACCATGGTCAAACTCAAAGTCAACGGTCAAGGTCGACAGTCCATGTTGACCCAACTCGTCGAGTGCACCTCTTGGACTCGTCGAGTTCTGCAGGACTCAGAAATTCAGGGAAAACCCTAGCCAACTCGCCGAGTTGTCCGGACAACTCGTTGATTTTTCTCCAACTTAACACATACAGTTGATTCTTCGATTACAGGGACTTTAAGGCTCAGATCTAAACTCCAAATGTGTCTTAAAGGATAAAGTTTCCAACTTTATCCTTTGGGGCTTCTTCAAATGCTCAAAAATCCATCCACAAGGCTTGAAAACTCAAAAGCTTAACCATTAAGCACAAATCCTTGAGATCTAGAACCCAACTTTAATCAAGAGAGATTTTAGCCTAAAAAACATCCCAAAGGTGGGTGCTTTATACACATGCATGTCCAATGCATGTCTTGAACCAAAAATTAGCCAAAAAGGGGAAATATGACCTAAACTCCATGCATGGCATCAAAACTTGGCAAAGGACCAGATCTAATCTACTCCAAGGTCACCTTGACCCGGAGATTCATAAAGTTGCAAACTTTATGAAGTCCATCAATTGCAACACCCAAGAATAAGGAGAAAAAGGGACCAAACTCAAGATCTAGCTACATAGATAGATAAAAATTCGGATGTAGAATACTTACAATTGTCCAAAGAGTGCCAAACTGCATATGTGAGCTTAGCTTGCTAGATCCTAGCCTCCTTCCTTCAATCTTCTCCCTCTTTACTCCAAAAAGCCATACACTAACTCACGCAATAAGGTGGAATGAAAATTAGGGTTTACAAGGCCGATATTAGGGTTTGGAGGCTGATAAAAGATCAGCCTCAAGGACTTAAGGATGTTATATAGGGTGCGAACCCTAAAATTTAGGGTTTCTCATTCAGCCGCCAATTCGTCGAGTTTTCCTCTTCAACTCGTCGAGTTGGTCCAAAAAGATACGCGGCCCAAAGCCGTTCAACACGTCGAGTTGAGGCCATCAACTCGACGAATTCCAAGGGAATCTTGTCTTTTGAATAATAAATCTCATACTTGGAATCAGGATGTTACACCAATTCTCTCTAATTTCATTCCTATTTTCTCAAATTCTAACCAAATTTCATTTGAAATGGATTATACTCCTAGCCAAGTCCAAAGATGAAAACAGTGGTCCAAACAGGAAGCAGTGGCATTAGAGAAAACTTACATTAACATTGTCGAAAATAAAGGAGGAAATCCACAAAGGTCATCAACTTTTTGGGGAACAGTTCTGGATCGTTTTAAACAACAACTCGGAGGAAGGGGGTTTGGATCGTGTAACCCATAAAATTAACAACAAATGGAATGATATGCGGACGAAAGTTAAGAGATTACAATGTCATTTTCACCCACAATATGAATAAATGCGCGCCTAAAATTACCGACAAAGAAATTTTAAGCACAACAAAAAATAAATATTGAAAACGAAATGACATGAAATATTTCTGTACTAAACGACAGTGTTGTAAAACTTAGCCAACTCAGGCTAGTACGCATCCTCTTACTAAGGCGAGTTAAGCCAACTCGGCCAAATAACTCAAAATTCGTCAACCTCTGTCAAAATCGGTCCAACTTAGACCAACTTGGTCAAATTCGATCAACTCGGTCAAACTCTGAAAGGGTCAAAAATAACTTGAAAAGAGAATAAAAATAAAAAATTTCAAAATCGATATGTATAATTTATATTTTATCTAACATACTAACCCTAAAATTTATATTTTGAACGAAAATCTAACCTACTCCTTAAATCCATTTATGTCCATAACGAGACTTGAACCCTCAACCTCAAGAAGGGAGGGTAATATCGGATACCGCTGGGCTAGAAGCCTTTTGATGTGTATATATATATATATATATATATATATATATATAATATATATATATATATATATATATACTTTTCCAAGGTATTAATATTTAATAAGAGAGAGAAAGTAGAGAAATAAAAGCTAGAATTAGAAGGTGATGTGTCTTACAAAGGGCCTTGAGATATTGAAAGAATAAGAGTGATATGACCGGTCATGTCACTTTGGCAGAAGAAAAATTGTATTTGAGAGAGGGTGGATGAGTGGATGGCGTTACCAGCATGTGTCTAGGTATTTATTAAATTGTTGGTTTGTGATTTTATAGAAGTTACTCATGTGTGGCCGTCTCACAACCTTTCTTTTTCCATTTTTAATGTTACTGTTTTCTTTTGAATATGATGGTTTTTCTCCTTTTTATTTATCTAGTTTTACATTACGATGGTTACTTTACAGTGATAGACTGATTGTATTTCAATAGGCCAATAGGGCATCTATAACAAGAGTTTAATAGAGGATGAAGACTGACTTGTTTAATCATTGTATGGTTAATAGAATTATACTCTTTTTTTTTTCAAATTGAATTTCAAATCAAAAATCAATATAATCATATTTTTATATTACTTTTTCATTTGATTTTTTGTTATTTTTCTAACTAAAGCATAAATTAAATAACCACACTTTTAGGTATTGTATTATCTAATAATGTATTATATTTCTAGGTTTTATTATTTTTTTAAATCAATAGCAAATCATTAAATTCAATAAAATATTTAAAAATAAAAACCTACAAAAATAAAAATATATTAGTTTCAAATATGACCACTTACGAATTGAATTTCATATTTAGGTATCGTGTGGATTAGGGTTCGTAATATTTAATTAATATATTTTTAAGCATCATATATATCAATTATATTGTATCTTTTATTTTAAAATTTAAAACTGTATATATAAAAATATAACGGTGATAATGTAATATTTAATTAATATATTTTTAAGCATTATATATAGTCGGTTCACCAACGCACCGACATCGTTTATAGATCTCATGAACCGGATGTGCAGACAAATGTTGGACCGATCTGTGGTAGTGATAGTGTTTATTGATGATATATTTGTCTATTCTAATACCAATGAACATCATGAGGAGCACATGCGGGAGGTTTTGGAGACTTTGAAGAGGGGAAGCTTTATGTCAAGTTCTCCAAATATGAGTTCCGGTTAAACGGTTAAGTGATAACTCTGCATGAAAGTTGTGGCCAAAGCCAAGCAAAAAAATGTTAAGACTTTTCCCAACTATGCGTATACAACTTGAGACTTTGTGGTATTTATCCTTAAAAATAGGGATAATGTCCCATATTTATTTTTTTTTCTATTAATCCAAACCCTTTTTTGTTGCGCAATACTCAACCATTCGACAATTCGCCTAGTATAGTGTAAATGAGTAATCTCATATTGATTTCCTTGAATTCGTCAAGAACTTGCCTGTAAATGTAAATGGTAGTTGGATATCAAAAGAATTAGAAAGTTATTTTGGTCATATGGCAAGTGATTACTAGAGATGGCACCGACAATAGAGATATACTGGAGACCGCATTCCCCATCGCGACATGTATTAAATCCGTCCACATCCCAATCCCCAGCAGTGACTGGGGTTCCCCAACAGATAATCAAGGTTTTTTCTTGTTAATTATCTAGTTCAACTTTTAAAATCATAAGGCTCAAACTCAAGCTTTCATTTCAAGTTCAAGATACAAAACTCGAGGTCAACCCATAATTGATCTAAGAAGCTCAGGCTCAACTCCATCTTGGCTTGTTTATCAAACAATGCGAAAAAAAAAGTTTGCCATACTTTTATGTTAGGGGAAAAACTTTTAAACTCAGAGAAAACTAAAGGTTATAAAATTTCAAATTTAACAATAGTTACATCGACCATTAGCCAGTAAAGTAGGCATTGATTCAAATGGTGTGTTCGGCAAAACTAGCTCCGTAGCATGTAGCTTATAGCGGGTAGCTTGTAGCGTTTTTGTTAAACGCTACATGAAATAACATTTGGATTTGGAACGTCCTGTTTAGATTAAACGCTAGAAACTTGTAGTGTCAAACGAAACTTTCTGTTCAAAAGGGAGCGTTTTGTCAAACCACTAGAAACTTGAAACTCTCAAACGCCCACAAATGCTTAGTGTCGAACACGCCCTTTGTGTTTTCAACTTAATCTTTACTTTATAAAACTTTGGATTGTCTTTTCTTTCTTATTTTCAACAAAGTGGGATCCCATAACTCTGTATTTTAGTCTAACCATGCTTCGAATGGGTCGGAAAGGTTTTTTCAAATTCATTAGATTGGATGTATTTTAGTCTAACTAGAAAAAAAAATCATGCTTCGAATGGGTGGGAAAGGTTTTTTCAAATTCATTAGATTGGATCAGACTATTTCGTCATGTAGTCATGAGATTTAATTAGTATGGTTCCAGATATTTATATATATTGACATCAACTTTACATAGTTTTTTTAATAACTATTGCTGGACAAAATTCAGTAACATGACGATAAGAATTTTTTCTAACAAAATATTTTAGAAAGAAAAAGATAATGTGGAAATAGAGAAAATAGGAAATAAAGTAAAATGAAGCACATATTAAAAAATTTGGAAGTACTCAGTAGAGTTGCCTTCATTACCACAAAAGCTATATCAGGGGTATCTTCCCAGTTTTTATATAGTTTATGTAACCTGTATGCCTGAAAATCACAATTCACAAGTGACCACACACAATCATTATAGGAGTTGAAAGTAAAGAAATACAAGTAGTAAACTTCATAAAGAAACTAAAATAGAAACGAGAGAATGTTAAAGTAGCATTATTGCATCAGAACACATGATAAAAAACTGATAATGCTTCCAAAATTGAGATGCTATTTGGTGGAAGAGGTAAAATGGACTAAGTTCTTATCCCAAAACAGATGGAAGTTAACCACTTGACTTTTGTAAAAAGAAATTGATACTTAATCATGAATTTATAACAAAATTGAAAATATTAGCTACCTTAAGCAATCTGTAAAAACATATAAAAAAACATCTTAGTAATTGTTCCTGGAAGAACCATCTTAGTAATTGGTACTACACTTCCTCTAGACTTTGAAAGTTCTTAATCATACACACCACATAACCACAAAACAGTAACATGGGCAGATCCAAGACACAGACTAAAAATCAATAGTCGAGGGACGAAAATTGCCAAGCTCCATAAACTATTGTGGTGAAACTCTGAAATCCCAAACATAACTGTGTTGGTGATTTGTTATCATCAAGGTTATTTAAGTGTAATGGGATTACTTTGTTGACTAAAAATGATCTTGATAAATATTAAACAAGTAAGGAAAGTGTGGAGTACACACTTGTTTAAGTTTGATCAAGTATCAAAGTATATTGTCATTTAGGGGCGAAGCCCCTGAACGAACAGGGTCTGGGGGCAGCGCCCCTGGGAGCGGGGTCCAAGGGGCAGAGCCCCTGGCTGGGGTCTTATTTGGGTTATATTGCTGTATTAAAAATGCATTAGAAAATCCAAACTTTGAATATTTGACCCGGTTTTGACTTAGCATTAATCCTTATACAAAACCCGGATTTATAACAGTTTGACTGTTGAGAAAAAAACTGTTATATGACAGTTTTGACAGTTTTTCAGATAAGGAAAGTTTATAACCAAATTTTAGTCAGTTTTCTGGTACTCACGAAATTACACCATCTCATTATCTTTCTTTCTCTCTATTTTCTCTTAGTCTTATCCAATTGAGGATTTGGAAGTACCACCCAAATACTTCAATTTGAAAGTGATTATCACGATTCTCAGATTTCCAAGTGCCACTAAACCATATTTCTAACAAACTGTTCATAAGGATTTTCAGATTTTATATTATATTAAACTGTAGAAATAATTCACGTTCCTTTTAACTAAAAACAAGAAAGTGATTCTGTAAAAGTCGCCATTAACATCGAAATTAACTTACCAAATCAACTGCTACACTACAAGAAATTTTTTTTTAACAAAATCAACCGTTATTATTTACATATCATTCAAATACAACTATTAGAATAAATAATTCAAATACAAACACGTATCATTGCTTTACATATTTTCAAATCGATTACATATACAGCTAATTAATGATGCGTGTAATAAAACCATAATCACCTTCAACAATAGCTTTATACACCGATGAAAATTGAATTCCAAATACAAGAAGATGAAATGAGATGTAGAGACGTATATAAAGAGAGATGAAATACCTGGAAGACAGAGGAAGACAATGGATCAAGGCAAATCGGGCAATCCAATACAACCGGCGGTTGCGATGGGACAGATCTCTGAGGCCGGGGTTGCGATTGTGATGCGGGTTCGGCGAATCTTGGCCGTTTATTGGCAAGTGGAGTATCGTCATCGTCTTCGACGATTGAAAATCTCGCCATCGTAATCGCACTTTCAACTGGGGATCCATCGTTTATCTGATTTTTGACAAGCAACCGCATTATTTTACACTTCCGATTTAACCCTAACGGAGGAGAGTGGATTCTCGGCCTCGCTTCTAAAAATCGATTGAATCGGATAGGTTCCAGTCGACAGGCAGTGAGAGTGGAAGAAATGCTTGAGGATCGATGCTTTGTGATTTTGAGAAGTTAGACGGTGGAGGAAATATCCACTCGTTTATTTATTTAGTCGGTGGAAGTGAAGCAGCAAGGGTAGAGAGAAAAAGTGAAGCAAGTGAAGCAGCAAAGGGTAGAGAGAAAAAGTGGGTTTATTTTCAGTTTAAAACATTAATGGATTCTTCCAACAACAACAAAGACGGAGATAGCAGAAGAAGATAGAGGATTCATCTTAAATTTATGTTGGTAGATATATGTGTTTCACGACGAAAGGGGGAAGTGGTGGAGAGGACATGAGTGCTGCTTCGTGTAAATGATGGATGAGGGAAGCGGTGGTGTGACTGTGAAGATAGTGGAAGACAGCTGATGGACGACGGAAGCGGTTGTAATGGGCCAAAACTTGAAATCATTTGCTGGGGTGGACTCCATTTAACAATTTTGGCCGACATTGTTATCACTTTAAGCGATTATCTTTGATATGGAGTTTATTGACAGGCCATCTCATTTCAAGAAGAGATTAAAAAAAAAAGACCTTTTAATATAACCAAGCATCTGCTAACGACAGAACTATTTTTATGACCGTGAGATTAGATCGATGGAAAGAAGAATACCATGGTCAAAAACATAATTGGAAAACAAAAAAACACCAAATCGTTATTTCTCCAACAAATTGATCTATACGACCTACATCACTGTGTTATCGCTAAAACGGATCAACGCCCATCTTTTTGATTGGGATTTGATCAACATGTTATTTCATTTATGAATATATATAGTAGATATGAAGTAAGAAGTTGATGCAGATGCAGATCCATTGCATAATGTCGATTGATTTGTTCTAACAAATCGATTTTTCACACCACAGCTATGTATGAATACCTCATTGCTCACCAACATTGTACACTTTTCTGTTACTCAAGTCTCAAGTGTACATTGTAATACTGTAATCTGTAATCTTTGTTATGAATATACGTTCCTCCTTCTTGATAAATAATAAATGAAAATCTTTTTGTTACATGTAATTATCTCATTCATTTGGACACATGATATTTTATAATATTTTTGAATAAATACTTTTTCATTTGTCATTTTTTCTCAATTTTTATCTTTTCTTAATTAACACATGACATTTACACATCAATTAATAATTGTCTTAATTGAAAATACTCAAATAAATTACAATATTACTATTCATATACTGTATTTAATATGTTTCATTTAAAATTCAAATTTTAAGTTCATTATATCACAACAAGATCATGTGTTACCACCACTTGTTCTCCAACTAAAATTATGCGTATGTTATTTTCCTTTTTATTACCCAAATAAAACCCATCTACATCCTTAGTATAAAACCTCTTACCACCTCGATAGACCATCAGATCATCCACAAATAATACAAAGTTCAATCAACTAGCTAGCAAATATAAGAAATTGTTTGATAGTAACCAATTTAAGAAATGCATTCAATCACTTTAATCAGTTTGAAGTTGATGATGATGACACAGATATTAACGAATTAAACAAATAAAATCACATTTGCATCTTTCTTGATAAGATTTGTAGTAATAAGGTTGTCATGAATGTATGAGAGTGGTGTCATTGACATGGAACTTTGATTCATTAGGGCGGAAGATTATCCAGAACACGAAGATGGAGAGCCCGATGAGGACGAGGATGGAGTCGCTAGGTGTGACATCCTCAATTTCATGATCAGAAAATACCGATTTGTTTATGCTTTATTTGAAAATCAGAGTAACTTTTTAAAGAATTATGTTGCGGAATTGGTTCCCAAAAATATGATAAAGAATTTATCAAAGCATTTCCGAAGAAATGTATTTTCATTATATTAAAACCTCGGGATGTGTAATATCCATAAAAATCATGCCAAATTTAAACTTTTAAAATCATTTCAAAACCCATGATTATTACAAAACTTGTTTTCAAAATAGTATGTTGTCAGAGTATCCCATAATCAAATCATAAAATCATATAATGTGAGGAGCTGTACGATCACGCCTTCGCCTTCCCGCGATCATCAGAAGTACCTGAAACAATAATCGATAAATGTAAGTTCGAAGGCTTAGTGAGTTACCCCCAAAATACCAACACCATAAAACATATCAATAACATAACAACGAACAACATGCAAAATGAGCCTTCAGCCTGACTGGACCGCCTCACAGGCCTTCAGCCTATCTGGACCGTTCTCCGAGCCTTCAACACGTCTGGACCGCCTCGCAGAGCCTACAGCCTATCCGGACCGCTCGCCGGGCCTTCGGTCTGACTAACATGCCCTTCTGGGCCTATAGTCTATCTGGACCGCCCTAGGTATGTTGGCCTTCATCACAAAGCAGGACCGCCTCAACCCAACCCCCAATCAATAAACATGTGCACATAATATCATACGCTAGCATATATAATAGTCAAACCGATCTAACAGATCATCAATCATAGCAACATCCTATAACCAGGATACAAACCTAACCGGTCACTAACATAGCATCATCCTATATACCAGGATACCGACCTAACCAGGTCACTAAGCATAGCATCATCATATATACCAGGATACCGACTTAACTAGGTCACTAAGCATATCACCATCCTAACTATCAGGATGCAAATCAATAAGCATATCATGCAATAAACCCGGATATAAATCCGATAAGGGCCGGCATTGGTGGCTTAGACCCTGTTGATATAGTGAGGATAACTCACCTCGCAAGTAGCTCGAAGTGCTAAGGTCAACTCCTCCAAATGCAGCTCCAAATCTAACACCTACAACCACCGGTGACTCCCTTCCATAAATTCCCATATTACCAAAATACTCCCAAAGGTCAAACGGGTCAACCCTTGGTCCAAGTCAAAGTCAACGGTCAAGGTCAACAGTCCACGTTAACCCAACTCGTCGAGTGCAGCTAGCAACTCGTCGAGTTCCTTAAGAGTTCAGAAGGTCATAAAACCCTCCCTGACTCGTCGAGTTTACTACCAACTCGTCGAGTCTATGCGTGTCCAGAAGTCGGGGAAAACCCTAGCTGACTCGTCGAGTCCTCTACTGACTTGCCGAGTCCATGAAGAAACCATACCACATGAAAACCCTTCCTAACTCGTCGAGTTCCTTATCCGACTCGCCGAGTTCATATAGTTCTTTTCTTGTCCAGATGTTTTCGAGCCATTCTAAAGCTCCAAATGGTAGATCTAGCCTCCTATAGCCTAGTTATCACGTAAAGTTGCAAACTTTACGTGCATGCAACGTCTTAAGAGCCAAAACCAAGCTAAAGAAGAAGTTTATGACAATGGAAGGGCCATAGCTTGACAAAGGCTGAGACTTTATGACAATAAGGGGCTAAAGGGGTCCAGATCTGAAGTTGCAACCTCAGATCTTTCCCCTAATCCAAAATACCACCACAATACCCTAAAAAGGGTTCTAAACCCATGAAACAAGAGATCTAGCTAATGGAGAGCTAAGGTAACAACTTGTTACCTTCAAAATGATGCTAAGATGAAGTAGAACTCGGATCCACAACCTCTCTTTGCTCCAACTTCTTGTACTTCAAGCTCTTCCCACCACAATCCACCTTCCAAGCTTAATATCACACCAAAATGAAGTGCAAGCAGCGATTTAGGGTTTCTTGACTCACAAGGGGGCTGTAAGGGAGGCTAAGGGGGCAAGTGACCCTTAAATAGGGTGCAAAACCTCGGGGATTAGGGTTTCTCATTCCAGCTCCAACTCGTCGAGTCAGGTCCACCGACTCGTCGAGTTGGTCACTTAAGCCATGTGGAAAAACGCGTCCCTACTCGGCGAGTCTAGGCACCAACTCGTCGAGTAGATCTTCTGAGACGTGGGTGGATTTCACCATGGCTGGAGTTTGTGCCAGTTCCCGTTCCACTAACACCACCAGAGTTGACTTGCGCCAGCGCGACGGTCACAGCTGCAGTCACAGCTGCTTGAAACATCACCGGGTCGAACTGCGGTGGGGGAGGTGGTGGTGGTGTTTGATCCACAGGCGTGCGTCTGGTCGGACGCTTGCGAGGAGGCATCTTTTACTGAAAATTTTTAAAAGATGATGACAACAGTGAGAATCAATTGTAAGTATGATGAGAGTGTCTCATGGAATAAATCGCCATAGTCCAACAATTAGATAGATGCATATCAATAGAGTAAGAAAGCACAAGGGCATGAACTTCCAAATAGATTAGACAACTGCCAATATTACTGGTATTACTGATGTAAAATGAGTTCAGGAAAAACGACCTAACAATTGGTCTTACATCAAACCATAAGGAGAATGTTGACAGTTCAGAGGGCTAGTTATAGTACTTTCAAAGTCGGGAATGTTTTACAGACAGGTGAGACGGAGGTATTGAAGAGGAAGGCTATTCTTCTTAGGAAGAGAGAGGATGAGTAGATAATCTTCTGCTGGCGACGGGAACCCCTCTCTGGGTTACCCTTGAATCAACCATTGTATCTATGCGAGAATGGAGAGAAGATAGTTAGTAGACGTACTAATCCTAAGATACTTATAAGATGATCGTTATTAGTCGACCCAATACTTGCATAATGCATACCAATTACATGTAATCGAGACAGGATAGACCTTCGAATAAGTGACCCTAACTCGAAATCCACAACCAAACAAGGAACAGGAAGTAAAGCAAAGATCACAGATTCTAAGTCTATAGCGTCTTAGTCACATGTAACTGTAGTGTATCCACTTAGCAACGATTGCCCTACTAGTAACGACCTTTTTAGTTCTCACATATGTAAATTACAGGAAATTCAGAATACTCCTATAGTATTCTTGTTCAAATGTTCTTGTAGTAGTGTTGGTAAGTTTTTAGACTTGTTGCAACACCACAACCACTCTTAGGCACAGGCTAGTCACTCCTAGGTAAATGTAGTTGATCAGGCTACATCCTCCCAGATTTGACTATATGTCTCTAAGCCTAATTGTGCTGTTCAACAATCTTAATACTTTTGTTCTGTTCTAGTATGATACTGACCCTTAGTGTGAATGGATGTATATATATACTTAGTTAAATATTTCCTTATTTAATAGTATATATTCTTGCTCAGAGTTTTTTAATCCCGATGTGTTTATAGTTCGTATATCTTTTATGGGTTGATATACTTGATTCACTATAAACCTGGCTCTGATACCAATCTGTCACACCCCAAAACCGAGAACGGCGGAATACGTTCTGGGGTGGAGGACGTCATGTACAGTATCATAACAATGCATAATAGTAATAAAGACAAGCAACAACATCCATTGCATTAATATAATAATTGTAATACAAGCGTGTTCTGTACAGTTTGTTAGACACCAAAAGTATAATCAAAATAAAGAGGAGTCTTGTATGTGCTCCATCTTCTCAAAAGCTGCATCTGCACCTGTCTACTGATGACCTGAGAATACAAGTTATTTTGAAAGCGAGTATCAGCATAAAGCTGGTGAGTTCATGAGTATTTAGTGTCATTGCTTGTATAAAAATGATTACAACCATGTAGTATAATATTTGATCTCAATGTTGGAAAATAGTATGCTCCCTAGGAAAACCCTATGTTTTCCAGTAAAAGTGGTCTTCTACCAAGACCCGGTTGTATGTATGTTTGATCCTTTGAAAATGTAAAAGTTTTCCCAGAGAAACTATTAGTAGGAAAATATAGTTTTAGACTTCATTCATGTAAAGTAATTGGGAAAATAGTGTTTTTCCCCAGCAGCATCACTGCCAGCTAATGAAATAAAAATGCAGACTCCAGGTAGTATTAAATGTACAATACACCTCGGGGAGTCTGTTTTGCCTTTAATTCTTAATGTATTAATTAAAGGTCGAAATGTGAACTTGTATGTAACCATGCTGATTGACGATCGAATCCCTGATGACCCTCCGAGTCATCTGTAGAAATGTGACATTTTGTCACCCCTGGGCCTAGTCG